CTTCATATTTGTGATCTCCTTTCCTTTGTCTCTCATTTCCTTCTCTGTCTACCTCAGTTTTGTGCCTCTAGAGAATATAGGCTTATACAGTTGAAAACACTGACATCCAGAGATGGGATTGTTCTTGTACTCACAGGGAGAACAGGAAAGTGTTTGACTTTTCTGGTGTCTTGCCCAGTATACCCTCCTATAATTTTTCCCTTCCTTTTTGTAATACTTCTCCCCAAACACTTCCCTCCAAGATTTAAACATTCCATCCTGCAAGAAGATCCTTAAACAGGAGGGTGAATAACTCAAAGGAGCTTCAGGAAGTCCCTCAAATTGACCAGATTCACTAGCCCCTCCCTACCAGAGTAAACATTAAAAGCTGAGAGCCCCTCTCAGACTGAAAGAAGCTGAGCAGCAAAGAAGTCTCTCAGAAAAGAATATTCTCAGAAGAGCAAAAGCTTCAAAGAAGATTGTGAGACAAGACCAACTATGTGAAAGAAGCAAAAACCAGCCAAGCTGCCTGGAAGAGGTTTAGATTAGAGTCATTTGTAAAGGACACTATGCAACATGTTGAACTGTATGAGGGCTATGTCGTGCACTCCAGGTTTCCGAGCTTTTGTGAGCTGTCACCCATGCTGTAGTGGTCTGTGGTTTCCATGGGTCATTTCTGCTCCTGTAAGTTAGCCCTCATTCATAGTCCTATAATAATCCCAATAAAACTCATTGGTTCCTTGTTGTATGGAGAGAGGGCCTGTTTTTAGTCCTAGACACCCGGCTAGCTACCCAAAATAATCACACAGAAATTGTATTAATTAAATTATTGCTCGACCCATTATATCTAGTCTCTTTTTGGCCAACTCTCACATCTTGATCTAACCCATTTCTACCAATCTGTGTAACACCACGAGGTCGTGGCTTACAGGGAAAGATATCAACCAGCGTCAGTCTCAGGCAGGAGCTTTGTGGTGTCTGCCACACTAAACTGCCTTGGTGTTTTGATAGGGTAGCACTTAGGTAGGTGGAGTAGACAGAATGGAATGTTGGAAAGAAGGGCAGTGTGTCAGAAGCCGTAAGGTTCCTGCCTGAGACGAACGCTGGTTAAAATCTTTCCCGGTAAGCCACAACCTTGGGGTGTTACACAGATTGGTAGAAATAGGTTTGATCAAGATGTGAGGGTTGGCCAAAAAGAGATTAGATATAATGGGTCGGGCAATAATTTAATTAATACAGTTTCTGTGTGATTATTTCAGATATAAGCTAACTGGACAGTCGAGACAAAAAGACAGGCCCACTCCCCTCTCTTACAACAGTTCATCAAACTGGACTTTGCTGGGATCAGTACCTTGTTATGAGCTCCCTATTGGGGATGAATAGATGTGTGTTGTACCTTCCCAGGGAATGTTTTATCACATACACTGTTACTTCAAAGCAATACTTAGCATTTTATGATTACAAAGAGAAGAAACACAGGTCAAGTAACCTTTTTATAAAGGGAATAAATCTAAATTGGGAAGCTATGACCCCACCTGGACCAGTAGACAAAGATCCTACCCAATATTCAAGATGAGAGGTGGCCAGCCATCTACTAAATACGTGCTGTGTACCAAGTGAGCTCTCATGCTCACTTGCTCATGCTATTGAGCCCTAACATAAGCTTACTCTTGCCTTCCCTTTTAGAAAAGAATACTGAGACTTAAGCAGAGACCAAGGTCAAGGAGCTGAAGGCACTGCGTCTACCTGGCAGAGTTCCCATTCTCATTATGATGGTAAACTCTCCGTGATGACTACCTTACTCCTTAGAACTGGCCAAGGGAAGCAAAGATTTACTACAAGATCCCTTTCTGAAAGTCCTTGTAATAAAGAGCCTGAGTGACCCTGAGACTGAGTGAGACAGCTAAGCGTTCTTGGATCCCAATACTAGCCACCCACTTCTCCAGTGGTCTGACTTTTTTTTTATCAGAATCTCCATATGCCTGGGTGGTGCACATGCATCTGGGAAGATGCCAGGCCTGGCAGGTAATACTTGTTTTACAGTCAGGCACACCTGCTTCATGGAGCCTGCCAACCCCTTTAGCTGCTGACTGTTGGCAGGATGGCCATCTGGCCCCAGACCCCTTGCTTGAATTCTGCATTCTCTTTCCATTGAAAAGCATTCTCTTTCTCTCCCCATACCAAGTACTCCTGTCTATCCTGTTGAGGGAAACTTCTATATTGCTCTCCACCCTCCTTCCTTTCAGCATGGATGCAGTGTTTAATGCACAAAAAGTAACAAAGAAAAGGCAAAACCTGTTTAAAATGTTTCTTTTGGAAGCCTATATACAAGGCTGGTGTTAGGCTATTATTTTCCTCTGCTCTTCTTTCTTCTGGCAGAATCTTTACCAAGTCCCTTGCGTCTATGTTTGTCCTGATGTTCTGATATTTGCCATTCAAATAGGATTTCCTTTGAACATGATTTAATTTGAAGAAGGTTCTGGGTTTTTGTCATGCAAGCAAGGCCTCTCTGTCTTAATGCCTTTTAGTCAACTTTATTAACTACTCACATTTCCATAGTTACCTTAATCACTTAATCATGCTATTTCAGGATTTGGGAGAAATTTAAGTCCCTTTGGTTATATTCACTAAATGAGTTTTCTGTAACTTTTATACAGGCCCTTAAAATAAAGTTATAAAATAACTTTGAGATTTTAGTATAAATGCATCATTTTCTACTTCCCTTCCCTCCCCCTGGACCTTTCCATGTAAATGTAATTCTCCTGCTCTCTTTCCAATCCATGACCTCTTTTTCTTTAATTATCCCCCCCCCTCTCTCTCTCTCACACACACACACACACAAGCTCACACATACATATAATGTTAGCTGTATGTATGTTTTCAGAGCTGACCATTTGGTACTTGACAACCAGTTTGTGTGCTCTTCCTCAGGGATAAGGGTTTCTCTGGATTTCAGCATTCCTTAGCTATGTGGAGTTTTTTATTTAGTGTTGAGGCCCCGTGAGCTTACTTACTTTGATCCATATTAACATGTCTACTAGTTGTGTTCTCACTCAGGTCATATTTCGGAAACCATGCTGGTGAGACATCACGGGTATAACTTCTGTCATTCCTAGGAGGCACAATCTCTTAGTATACTCTCTGCTTCTCTGGATCTTTCCACCTTTCCAGTCTCCCCCTTACATAGAGGAGTTGTCTGACAATGCCCCTCAAAAAAGTTACAGGTCTTCAAAAAAGAAAAAAAGAAAAACCAACACAGACATTAGAAGCCCTCTTTTGACTTATTTGTCTGGGTTGCCTAAAGTGTTATGATATTATAGGCTATTCCTGTTGCCCATGGTTGTTTTCCAGAGGTGAAAGTTGTGTTCCTATTGCTGAAGATTACATTCACTTTAGACAGAGGACCCAGAAAATTCCAAGAAAGATCTTCCCCGGAAATCTCTTGCCTAAGGATAAGCTTTCATGCAAACTTCCAAAGCAACAGAGAGTCCTACCCAGTTATTGACCTTTGAACCACACAAGGACAAGCATGGCAGAATGAGCCTAAGGATGTAATAGTGGCACATGTACCTTGGTGGTAACAAAGAATCCTCTAATTGGGATTTAAAACCAGCTCAAGAAGAGGGGAAATATGTCTACATACTTATTATTGGAAACCAAGGCAACTACCCAGGGATAGTGAAGTCATAGATTTTGAAACAGAACCTACAACTGCCATTTTATCAAACCAGCATAATCCTTAACTATATTCTAAATATTCATCCTTATACCCAAAGGTAAGTGTAGCTCTCAACACTTATCAAGGCTTAGGAGTGGTTTAGTTTCTGATACTGTTGCCTACACTGAGAGGCACATCAATAGAAAGGTCTGGCTTTTCTATAATGCTGTTTGTTTGGGTGGAAAGATGACTGAGCTCGGAGGTGGAGTCCTTGAAAAAATGCAATGTTGAGCCAAAGGTACAGGAAAAATTTGGGCGTACATTGAAGGTACGGGTAAGTCTAAGGAATCAGGATTAGAAGACTAAATTTACTCAGGTAATTAATAATGAATCAAGGCCAATTAAAACGAAACCATAAAATGAAGATGTAATTTGGGAGTGGAGATTTTGAGAAAATGTATGATAAATAAAAGTCAGGATCATAAAAATTAACTCTCCTTACCTTCTGCCTAGTTGTAGTTTTATTTTTATGCATGATCTGTTTCTTAGAATTCATAAAGCTGGGTTGACAAGACTCCATTGTTTTAGAGATGGGAAAACATTGTTGTTATAAATATATGAACTCTAGATAAAATATTAATCCTTTATTGATCGATTTTCATTTCAGGATCTTAATGAAAGTATCATTTTCAGAAGAAGTGTTTAGTACTTTGCTCCATCTTTCAAAGTCCTTTCTTAATCTTTATAATCATTATTATCCCCTGAAATTCTTTAGTATTACCTTTATAGTTTGCATTTTCAGTTCTTAACTGTGACCACCTTCTCATTTATCTGTGATGCTACACTTCTGAATTACCTCTGTCTCCCTTCAAGATCACCATTATCAATTTATAAAAGTATTTGGGGAAATGAGTCTGCTCCTTTACAATTATTTTCTGTTATTCTTTATAAATTTGTATTCAGAAAAAATGAGAGACACTTTTTCAATACCTAAGCATCACTGTGCACTTAAACAACAAGATCCTAATATGGCCAGGCTACACACTAATGACACAAAACAGCATTTGTGGTAAATGACTCACTTTATGCTCAATAGTTTGGTAGTAATTTTTTCTATTACATGTACTTTTTTTGATATTACTTCCAATAAGTACAATGTTTATTAAACATATCTTCAGTTTTGTTACATAGTGTGCAACAAATTACAATATTCTGCAGCCACAAATTAGATTCAGAGTATGAAGAAACTATTGATCAGATAGTGTAATCTTTCCATTTATAACTCTACAAGGAAGAACTAGCAAATCAGATCTTACATAGAACGTCTAACTAAACTTTATACATGGAAATTGACAGACACTGGTTGTGCTATTTGATACAAAATGGCTGAACTTCATCTTCAGAAGACTAAACCCAACATCTAAAACATGCCAATATAAACATCAAAACAAAATAAATTCTAACCAACCATGGGAAACAATCTGGTATCAGGAAAGCAACAAGGATTACACACATTATTTTATGAACCAGCACACAAAGGTTTAAAACAGTTCTGAAAATGAAGTTAGCTGTCTTGAGTCAAGGGAATAAAAAAAAAGTCAGTATTGACCATTTACAATCTCTGACCTTGTGGAAACGGTAAGAATCTGTTGTGGTGCAGCAACATACAGTACAATTCAGGCAATTTTGTTTTTCACTTGGGTTCAGATTGCGAATTCATTGCTGTGAGAAAAGGACGGAGGCAAATTTTAGCGGCAACCTCCACCTGACTGCTTGACTGGAGTGCTCTGGATTTTACCATTGGACTTCTCTACACCACCAGCTGCTGCTCCAGGGCCCATTTGCTTTTTAATCTCAGCTGCCATCGTCATGAAAGACTGTTCTACCTTTGTTGCATTCTTAGCACTGGTTTCCAAAAATGGAATTCCAAGAAAATCGGCAAATTCCTTTGCTGTTGTGTAGTCTACTACTTTCTTTGTGGTCAGGTCACATTTGTTCCCTACCAACAACGTGTTGACATTTTCACTGGCATAGCGATCTATCTCCTGCAGCCACTGTTGAACATTATTGAAGGACTCCTGATCTGTCACATCATACACAACATGGCTCCTCTGTAGTAACTGGAGGTGATTGTTCGAAATCGCTCCTGGCCTGCTGTGTCCCATATCTGAAGTTTGTTTTCCCGTCTAACTCTATAGTTCGTATCTTGAAATCCACACCAATTGTGCTGATATAGCTTTCCGTGTATGTATCATCTGCAAACCTAAGGAGGAGGCAAGACTTTCCAACTCCAGAATCGCCAATCAGAAGTAACTTGAATAAATAATCATATTCGGGATTCATGTTGGACATGTCACTGCTGCTGCCGCCGCCGCCGCCGCCACCGCCCTTGCTGACACAGCCGCCACCCCTACTCTCCGCGCCACCGGTTATGGAAGGGAAGGAGTGAGCTAAGTTGTTCCGGTAGAACAAACGTCGACCCACTCCGACCCTTGGAACACAATCAGCAGCCGCCCCCACTCAGTGATCGCTTCCACCCAAAATGCTATTACAAGTACTTTTAAAAGAACTCTTACAACAAGAATAAGAATAATCAGATAAGACACATTTTTATTAACAGTTATCACATAGATTGCATTCATTGTGGATTCGAAGCAAGTGAGATGGGAGTGTGTGAAATCAGAGATGAAAAAGAAAATATCGGAAACCAAAGAGTCCGCACAAATGACTTATTTTTCAGGGCTAACCTGCTTTCAACCTTTCTGGAGATAATTCTTGTTGGATTTAATTCAGAGGAAAATGGTACTGAGATGACATAGATTGGGACTCTCTCATCACAAATCCCTAATCTCAAATGTCCCAAATTGGAAGCATTTGGATCAGGGATATAATACCAGTGTAAAAATACCAAATCTGATTTCACATCAAAACTGGATTCCAGATAAACCACAGATACATTATAAATATTTTCAAAATTACTCTCAGACTCTGTATATAATCTGTGCATGGGGTAAGCATGAATTGTATGCTTAAACTTGGATTCTAAACAATCTCCCTATACATGAAACTATTGCCAAATATAAAAAGAAGCCGGAAACACAAATGTTCCTTCTCATAAACTCTTCAGATAAAGTGTACCTAAACTGTCATAGTTTAGATCTCCCAAAGGAACACACAGGTTGAAATTACAAGCATCAACAGGACCCTTGTATTTACTGATCCCCAGGTATGGATAGTCCCAGAAAGCAAGTGTGTTGTCAGTTTGAGCAGTTGCCGCTTCTTAGCTGAGGCACTTCTGAGAGTGTGCTGACAGGTAAGGCTTTTTGTGGGACATCAAACGCCTTCTTAGTAATCAAAGTGTAGGTGTTATGAATCCCATCAGGAGATTCGACTTCTTCATCTGTAGTATGAATTACCCATGCTGCAGTAGCATTGCAGTAGTGAGACAGAATTCCTAGGTACTGCAGTAAATATCCCACTCTACATTTTAAAGCTACTGTAACATTGTGAACATCTATGCCAAAATTACTGTCATAAAGTCAGCAATGCAATAAGAAAATCAAGATGCAGTGGATGCAGATTGGGGGGATGGTAGGAAAGGAATCTTGTCACAGATATTCTTTCTATGACTGAAAAGATTTTTTTTTAAAATGGCTGATTCTCCACAGAGAAAATGAAAACAAAAAAAGCAAGCCGCATTTGCCCAGATTCCATACCTAGTAAGCAACAGAGCCAGGAATGAAATTGAAACCCTTTTAACTTTCAATCCTAGGTTATCCTGGTACATCAAATGGCCAGCCCCAGAGAATGACACTCATCAGAAGAGGAGATTATTTCTGGGGCTCTGGGAGTATTGCAGTGTCAGCATTTATGGATAAAGACGAAGTTTCTCCTTTCCTCCTAAGTGTGTGCCATTGTGTTGACTGATGACAGGCAGCAGTGAAAAATCAAGGGATTAGCTTGATATAATTATGAAAGCTTTGGTCTAGTCTTTTTTGGCTCTGCTAATATCATTGATAATTGGATCCGTCTCCAGCTAGAATAGAAAATAAAGACAACTGGCCTAGCAGGGCTGTCTTATGCTCGGTTGCTAAATATAAATATGAACAAAGGAGAGCCATCTCCTTTCATTTGGGGAACCGGGGCTTGCACACAAAAAGCTTTAATACAAATCAAAGGATTTTATTTATAGGTAAAATAGAATGTTCACAAAAGGAAGGGAAAATGGAAATTGTGATAGTGTTGAATTCTGTTTTCTGGAAATTTCTGACCCTCTCCTTTTTGGGCACAGAATAAAACTTCTGAGGTCTTGACAGGTAAATAAAACTGTGTAAGATGAGTATCTCAGATAATTTTTAAATCGACACAAAGCTCACTAACACATTTAAAAGAACTCTGCATTTTACTATCTCACCTCATATATTATTTAGTGTTCCTAATGTAATATAATGGACAGTGTGTGCTCATGCATGCATGCATGTGTGCATGTATGTGGGGTGTGTGTGTTTGTATGTGTGTATGTGTGTATAAAATGAAGGAGATGCATTAGGTTGGCAGTGGTTGAACTATTTAAATGAACCAATCAGACTGACACTGAAGATTTTCAAACTACATGGAAGATAAAAGAAGTTGCTTTTAATACTGGTGAAGGAATGTCACATCAACAGGAGTGATGGACCTGCTAGCTGAGAGTGAGGGTAAGCAGGCACAAAGTGACATTTCCTTATTCCGTATCCTTTTATCTGGGCTGCCCCCAGAAGGTGCCACTTAGGATGGATCTTCCTGTTTAAAATAATCTGATCAAGAACAACACTCACAGGAGTTCCCAGAAGCTTGGATTGTAGTTGATTCCAGGTACAGCCAAGTTGACAGTTAAGATTCATCATCACAACCTGTAAACATGTAAAGCCAGCTAATTTAAAAGAGAACTTTCACTTCTCTCTCTTCTAGCTTATCTGAAATTACTTATGAACTCACTTTAATTTTTATCACATCTAACTTCTTCTTTTTTTCACTAGTATTGACAATAACCTTTATAAATCTTTGTATATATGATATCTTCAAGGATTCTACCTTTCCCCTAATGTAGAAGAAAGGCATAAATACTCTAACAGATACACTGTAAGATATATATATATATATATATATATATATATATATATGACATGCTTGTGGCAATGTATGTTTGTAGCATTGCTTAATTATCTGTTTGTGTTTATCTCTTCCACATTAACTAATTAATAAATGCCTTGTACTTTAGTTTACATGTGGTATCTCATATTTAACTAATGTCATAGTGAAATATTTAGTGCATTCCTGAGTGTACGTCCTAGGAAGAATTTCTGTTAGTGTGAGTCCATTCACACAGGCAATTCTGACAAGTGAATAAAAATTTCTGATACTCAAAATAAATGGGCCAAGAAAATTACAGAATGTACAGGATTATGCCCACACTAAAGGATTTCTGCTTTCTTTGATGATCTCTGCCTTTTATTAAAAACCAAAGAAACTCATTTGTTGTACTGTGAAAAAAATCTGAAAATATAACTGGAAAGTCCCCCCCCCCTAATATGTCGAAGTCATTCACTCTTACTTTCTCTTCTGCATTATCTTTTTTGCTGTGGTTGTCTAAGGGGCACTATAAAATAGTGCATGCTCTGCTGTATGTTGATTACATTACACTATCCAGTTCACCACAATCCATTCATAACTGCCATAAATAAGGCCCTGAAAAGGAACACAGCTGTGTGACAATGAAGCATATCGTAATGAAAGTTCAAGAACTGGGAACACCAGAACACTTAGAACCGTACGACTTATTCAGTGTGACGTACAGAAGATAATTTGTACCTAAAGTCAGCACTGCTCAGAACGTTGGAGACTGAGTTTCACCAATGGCCCTTCAAATCTCCAAAGAAACAACATAAATTTTCTGTTCTGGTGACAGGTGAGTCTTTTTATATATTAAACACAAATAGCCTTTTATATCTGTATTTTTTATTTTGACTGATCCACTTCATATATGCTTCTTCAATTCAAAGCCTTGTTACTTAAACTCCCCTATTCTATATTAATTTCTCTCATTACAGAAGAGAGAGAGCACAAACTATAGTAGTCACAGAAAATACAGACATAAGGTGAGAGTTCTTTTCCCACCCTCAAATACACATTGGATTAGGTCAAAGAGATACAATCACATCTAAATGCTAACTCTTCGGGTTATGAATATGGGAAACACATCAAATTGTTTTTCTTCTCCAACTTAGCTCTTTAGAGACATTTATAATAAACCAAGAGTAGCATCTGTGTATGGATCTTTGGTATTATTTGTGGCTATGCCATTGGTCAACTTGAACTATAGATGTCAAGATACACTACAGTAAGAACAACAACAACAAGAAGAAGACAAATTTTAAATGCACAGTAGTGATTCAAGTAGTAAAATATTTCTAAAAGCATTGCAGGAGATTAAAACAATTGCTTCTAAAAACATTATCATAAATTAAACCAGACAATGTGCTGTATTTTTGTTTCCCCATTGTCTTGTCCTTTTTCTCTCCAACTTTTGTTGACCCTTCTCCTTCCCAATTTGTCTTTCTCCTGATTTCATGAGGCTTGAAAGTTAATATAATAAAACTAAAGTCATTATATATAAATATTTTATTTTTGTTGCAAGCCAGGCCTTGGGTGCATGTCTGGTTTTCCAGCAGTCTGGGATAGAGACAAGAGGGTTATTACAAGTTCAAAGACAGTCTGATCTATATAATGAGATACAGTCCAGTCAGACCTACTCAGTGAGCCCTTTTTTGAAACAAATAAACAATCAGTATTACAGTGTTACATTCATGAAAATGTACTACTCAAAAGTAACACTGTAAAATCATAATCAAATTTAAAGAGAGTTTCATCTTCTGTTATATTATACAGTTTTAAAGCCCACATGACATAAACAGACAAACCTTTATCTATATGAAGTGCAAAACCTTCTATCAATTGTTTAAATGTCTTATTTAGTTATATTTCTATGACAGAAAATCTTTTAAAAATAGGATAGAAAACTCAGAAGGAATTAATGATTTAACTTCACACTTAATATCCTGAAAAGAATATTATATATTCATATCAACACAAACTAGAAGAGATTTGTTTTTTGGATTACATATTTATTATTCTATAGCTACTTTAAGAATTTAATACTGATATACAATTTCTTATAATAATGCTCAAATAATTATCTAATTTAAGATTCCCCACTGGGTGGTGGTGGCACACGCCTTTAATCACAGCACTTGGGAGGCAGAGGCAGGCAGATCTCTGTGAGTTCGAGGCCAGCCTAGTCTACAAGAGCTAGATTCAGCCCAGGCTTCAAAGCTA